CTGCGTCCGTCTTTCGTTTGTGTATCGTTTTGAGCGCATCACTAGAGCCTCAGCAACGTCCCACCTTATAGTGTTTCAACTTAAAATATACATATCGTATTGTTATTTCGTGGATTCTTTTTCGTACTTATCGGATTTTTGTACTTATCGTTAAATGTTGACTAGGCTATCATAAAAACAAAGTGTTCTGGGTAGTACCGCGGAGCAAACTTCGTAGCTCTTGGTCCTGGATTCGATTCCCGATAGAACCAATTTGGGAAATGAACTTTTCTGCAGTGATTTTGGACTAGGTGTTCTGAGTAGTGCTGCGGAGTGAATTCCGTAGTCCTTGGTCTCGAATTCGATTCCAGGTAGAAAACCAATTTGGAAAAAATCTAAATTGGTTTTGGCCTCGGTGTTCTGGGTAAACTTGATGAACTAATTAAAAAAAAGATAAATTTTTGTCTATTTTGTTGTTAGACAACCACCAGTGGATGTAGCATGCCGCTGCGATAAACCTTTGGGGGAATTTATCGCTCTCGTAACGAACAATAAAACGGCCTCGTGAACTTCGTGAATGGCGATATAATTATAATGTTTCGTGGTTTTTACTAATAGCTTTTTATCAAACTGGGCAAACAATTTGCAATCGCTGACATGACAATTAACGTAACTAAAAACTGTCAAACATTTTCGGCAAGCGTGATACTCTCCTTGGTGACTTTCGTCCATAGAGACTGCCACAGCCAGCCGGTGATAATAGGCGGCGTCTAAAGCCGCCACAAACCTATTATATCCACATTTAGCTGTCGAATTCGAGTGATAAAACCGCCATTTTAAAATTGTGTCACAATAACAATCATGGCGAGCTCAATGATGTCATATTTTTGATGCGCCGCGCGCATCTCACCCAACAAAAGAATATCACAGTGCCAGACATGGCCGCAAAAATCACTGCTCATATTGAAACATTTTGACAGTTCTGCACAGTAATTTTATCAACGTAAAAATTGAACACGACCAACGAATAAACAGGTACAGTAAAAAGAAACAAGGCTTTTCTTAAAAAACAGCAGTTATAAAAAAAAAAACCTGTTGTATTGGTGTCTTACGGCGCGTGTACACAAGAAATTCGTCGTGTCTGCAACAGAAAAGATGAGAATGGCCTTGTACACTACAAGAATTTTGTCGGATCTAGCCACGAAAATATTTCGTGTCTGTTGCAGACAAGAAAATGATGAGTATGTACACGATACGAATGCTTTCGGGTAGGTGTCGTTTTACTACCGACTGTGTGAAGAAATATGTTGACTACTAATAAAAAATAAATGTGATTGCAAATTATATGTATAGAATAATAAATATTTCTCTCCACGCCTCAAAAGTACGTCGTTTATCTTTATAAATCTCTAAGGTTTTGTTTCACAATACGGGTCGTTCCTCTACTAAACTTATAAATAAATAATGCATTTTATTAGTTGCAATGAAATTAATGGTGCAACAGTGGTACTTTGCAAAATCAGTCCACGCGCATAAACATTCGTTTACTGACAATGCGCCCTATGCAATAGCAGCAGAGCGCGTCGAGTCGGGGGTAGACAAGATTTTTTTCTTGTCCGGCGCCGAGGCTGTGTACACAGTTCGTGTGTAGAAACGACACGAATTCTTGCATAGACCCGGCGATTTTCTTAGCGTAATCACGCGCCCTTAGGATGTGATTTGGCTTTGTGATTGACTTTCTACTAATTCAAATTAAACAGAGATAATTTTTTGAAATAGTTTTTCGGCCTTGGTGTAAATTTCTATTTTTCGAGATACGACAAGATCTCTTTCCGGCGTCGACACGGCGTCGATATAATGCATTTCGACGTTGAAAACATAAACATGTTATTGTCTTTGTTTAACTACTGCGTGCTGTCGTAAGCCTAAAGAGATAGCATTACATTGGTCTGTGCGAAACACGGGAATCGAAAATACGTTACGTCATCTTAAATGTCAACTGTGTCCATTTCGCAGTACATGATACCGTTGTCAAAGGGAAGTACATCAAATATCAAAACAAATGTTTTACCAAGTGTTTTATTGAATTATTCGCATGAATTGTAATAAAATGGACAAAAATATTGACAGTGAGAACAATTATGTATTAATAAAAATGAGTCGCTGCACCATTAAGTGATGTGAACAATATCAAAAGCGAAAACCAACCGAATGTTAAATTGCACAGGCATGTGTTATTTTTCTGGCTATAAATCACACAATAGCCCAAATATCACATGTAATTAGACTTATTTAAGTTGTTTATCCATAAATCTTGCCAGATTTTGCTTTGGTGACTCTAGATAGCCTGTTTGTTTGAATATTTTGATGATTGTTGTTAACGATTATATTGTGATAGTGTTGTTCTTGTAAGCATACATATTATCGATAGTCTGTTATTAAAACAATCCATAACGAGATTTTTATTATTTTATTATTATTCAATTTATTATTTCAATTTAACCTACAAATGAAACAAGAAAGAAAGGATAGTTGTAAATCTATGACTACCGAATATAAATATAGGATAAAAGACCATCTTCATTTGTTCGCTTGCATTTTGAAGAGTCAAAATTTAACAGAAATTTGAATGTAACTAGATTATATGATAATACAATTCCATCATTAGGTTTGTCGATACATAATTTTATAGTTAATTTAGATTAAACAAGACTCATTTACTAGGCATTCTTAGTTCCTGAAAATAAAATTATCCACCCGTTTCCGATTTTGTCCCACTGACATCTCTAACTACTAAAAATTACTTTTTTCTAAAGCCAACAACACAGTGACATGTTGGCCAACGTTGCCGAGAGAACGCTAATTATCAACGTATTTTGCCTTGCCTTGCCATCGTTCGGTGTCATATTCCTAGCTGACCGAGTGAAGGCGAGCGCCAATGTGTATAGTGTATAGAGCTCGTTTTGCGTGGCTTATCGCAACTCGCAGTCGCTCGTGACCACTTGTCTCACTTCGGAGAGGTGTCTGTTTTTCTGTACAAATCGAAGGCGCTGGACCAATAGTAGTCAATTGACATTGTATACAATTAGACATTTGCATGCTATTTAATACATTCCGAACATGTTTGTACTAACACTGTCTCTCGAAACATCTTTTTAATTTATTTATACATATTCTGTTAAACCATGTTTTAAGCAAATAAACATATGATAACAGTATTATTGATTTAATTATTGTCGATAATATTACTACTATTATGTACGTAACTTTTATTTATTTCCAAAATAAATTGAAGTGTTAAAGACTTACTTAAACCGCTCACTGATATTAATAATAATAAATGTTTTCTATGTAAATCAGATGTCTGGGACCCCGCGATACAGGCTTGCCTAGTGTGGGGACCGCGGTAAACATAAAATTGTACCTATCAATCTGTGAAATAAATGTTATTATTGTTATTATAATTCTGTACCAATGCATAAATACAAAAAGCTCACACTATTTGAAAACCTTTGAAAATTTTCTTTCTAATATCAATCTTGAGGTTGGAAATGCATAGCGATAATCAGATTAATATTATAAAATTTTCGCTTTTTTAATATACTCTCAAATTATATTTTTTCCTGCACAAATTCACTTTTTATACTATTTGGGCATTTATAAATGCAAAATAATAAATTCTCAAATGACGTTCCCGGATATTCCCATAAGAAATAAAATATTCCCAAATAGAATATTGATTTTAATTAAACGTTTCCAAGTCGATAATGACTTTTCGATAGATTATGGTCCAACACTAAAGCCAATTTTTGTATAAGCATATAAAAGAACCTATTTCACCATTCGCGTTATCGGTCCGTTATTGTCTATGGGATCCGAAGCCCAAAACGAAAGCGTTGTGGCTAACGGACTGCGGACAGCTCACGGATCGTTTTGATTTCGTACGCAGCTGCGGTTGTATATTTTGCGAGTAGGCCTTCTGGCCTATCACCCCGTACCGGCTTGACGTCGCATTCCGGGACACCCTGTATAGAAAGACGTACTTATACGCTTTTGTGACTGTCCAGTGGTTTTTGCGTAGCTGTCTACTTACATACCTACAATAGTAGCAATTATTAATACGAAGATCGTCCGATCTAGTTTAGAAAAAAAATCCTTCGATCCGGTGGGACACGAACTAGTGTATTCAGGCGCTGTGCCAACTAAGGCACACGGAACGAACCAGCGCATCCTACAAATTTTTCGTACGTGCTTGTTGCAGGTCTTTTTTTAGGTTTTTAACTACTGTCTTTGCCGTAGCGCCATCTGTGATCTATTTCTTCGCCCAGCCAGGTACCTTTACAGCTACCAGCACCTGACCAGAGATGTCGCTTTAATAATTGTTATTAAGTTTATTGTTTGTTATAATTATTAATACAAAGATCGAACTCTTAAGAAGAGCCACGGAACCAATCTCACAACATTTTTAAAAGCGTAATATTAGGTCCTTACTTATGAAATTTGCGTTTGGTATGGAAGGAATATAAAGTAATTTTTTTTTGTAAAATATATTTAATTAATCAAAATGCACCATTGTTATCTATGCACTTTTGCCATCTCATAGGCAGTTCATTGATCCCTTTACTAAAAAAACCATGGGGGCGAGAATCAATACACTCTCTGAAGGCGGTTTGGACTGCCACATCGGAGTTGAATTTTTTTCCTTGTAAGAAGTTATCCAAATTTTGGAAAAAATGGTAATCTAATGGAACAACATCCGGAGAGTATGGATGGATGTGGAGTATGGTGTGCAGACATTCCAGTTGCAGCTCCTCTAGTTTAGCGGCCGTCTGTTGTGCAGTGTGTGGTCTAGCGTTGTGTGTTGTGCAGTGGCCTAGAGCGATTGACCAGACTCGGCTGTTTAGCAGCTAGTTCTTCCATCATGGTTTGCAGTTGCTGACAATAGATATCTGCCGTAATCGTTTGGCCAGATTTTAGAAGCTGTAGTGAACGACACCGGCACTAGGCGACCAAACACTCACAAGTAACTTTTTCTGAATCAATCTTCGCTTGGGGCAGGATTTGGCTGGTTCTCCAGGGTTCAGCCATTGCGACAAGCGCTTCCGATTATCGTACAGGATCCACTTTTCATCACAGGTAATGATCCGATTTAAAATCCCTTCATTATTGTGTCGGGTAAGCAATGTAACGCAGCAGTCGACGCGTGTTTGCTGGTTTGATTCATTCAATTCATGAGGTATCCACATTTCAAGCTTTTTTGCTTTCCCGATTTGCTTCAAGTGGATTAAAGCGACATCTCTCGCCAGGACTGGTAGCTGTAAAGGTACTAACTGGG